AGCTGTTGAGCACAATGAGCCTGGAGCTGCAGAGCTTCATGAGCCTGGAGGTCCTGAAGACCTGCGTGGTGTGTGCCCAAGAGAGTGAAGTGGAAAGCTACTGCAGTGAACTGGTGGAGCAGGAGGTCAGCCGTGTTCTGCACTCTGAGGTGGACAAGGACAACTTGGCCTACCTAAACTCCATTTTTACCTCCTTCCCCAAGGCTGCCTGGAAGGCCACAAAGAGCTGCCTGCAGCTGCAGCAGAATGGGGATGGCCTCTTGGTAGCCAGGGCCACCCCAGAGGTGTGGAAGAAGGTCCTGGGAGGACCACAGCAGGAGGATGTGGGTCAGAATGGGGTGGTCCCGCTCTTTGAGCTCATCTGTGCTTCCTTCCTGAGGTTCAAGCCCAAATGGCTGGCCAGTTTTGTGGAGCTCACCCAGCAGTATGTTAGCATCTCTTGGGCATACAGCAGCAAGGACAGCCCAGAGGGCCGGGTGCCACTGTACAAGAGAGCTTTGGGAGTACTGGCCAAGAACAAGCACAGCGCAGCAGATAATGAGACGGAGCTTGAACTGCTGCTCTGCAGCAAGAGGCCTAAGGCTGTGCTGCAAGCTCTGCACCTTCTCATCCGAATGAGGCGGTGGCAGCGGGTGGTGGAGGTGGCAGAGAAGTTCTCCAAGTTCAGCCCTTTGCTTAACAAGGAGATATTCACCACGCTGCTGGCAGAGTTTGCCCAGCACAGGGAGCTGGACCCTTACCTGGACTTGCTGTGGCCACTGTGCCCCGCTGAGCTCACTGCCTCGGACATCCTCACTGTGGTCCTACAGCACCTCCCTCACTCCCAGGAGGACCCAGTGCCCTTCTCCAGCGAGGGGAACCAGCTGACTGTAGGCTTGCTCAAGCCACTGCTGCAAAGGGTTGTGCAGCGTCCCTGCATCCAAGATGAGATGTACCTGGATGCCTTACAGAGCTCCACCTTCCCCCCTCCTACCCCACCCCGAGAGCACAAGATCCCCTCAAAAGCAGCTGATGATGATGCCCCTCAGCTATCCATGCCAAGGACTTCTTCCCCCTCAGCACTGTTACAAGGTGACAGTGTGTGAAGGAGGAAAGCACAATTGGATCCCAAGCCTTGCATGCACAAGGAGAGGAAAGCTTCATCCTCCCAAGGAAGTCCTGCCCTGTCTGGCAGTACAGAAGCCTACTCCTGTGGCAGCATCTCGAAGAGTGTGTTGGATGGCTGAGGTTGGGGGATCTCATCTGAAGCCAGGGCAGGCTTTCTGGCTATTTCTAGCAAGTGCAATTGCGTGTGCACCAGTGGAGGAGCGAATGCCGGGTGCATTTGCAGATGAAAGCACTGGCTGCACTTCAGGACTACAGAACTGCTCCCTGCCCAAAGCACTTTTTTGTTCAATTTGCCTGGCTCCTTTATAACTTCACTGATCCTCTAGGAATGGTGGGCAGGGACAAACACAGTCTTTCCTCCTCCTGCATGTCTCTCTTCAGTGGGTTTCGTGGTGGCCCCAAACTCTGCCTGCGGGAAACTGGACATGTTTCTTGCAGTGAGGTCACCAAGTGCTGCTGCACTGGGCTCAGTCAGGTGCCTGAATGCTAGCATGGTACAGCTCCGTGGTACTGGGGGTCCCAGCACACGCACTGGCAGCTGCAGCACTTCGCATGCTAGCTGGCTGCAATTCCCCTGGGATCAATCCTGTAGCTGTGACTGATTGCAGCTACTTAGCTGAAGAGAGCAGCCTAATTCCCTTATCTCACTATCCCAGGCGGTACCCAAACTCTCTTAGCTGAGAAGCTGGCAGCAGTCTGTACGAGCCTGGGGCTGGCCCTGCCTCTCCCTCTCCTTTGTGGCATCTTAGATTATGCTGCAGGACACTCGGGCCCTCTGTTCCCATCTCCTCCACCTTTGCCCTTTGCACACAAAAGGGGCTTTGTGAGGGTTGTCTGGCTCATATTGTGCCTCTGTTTGCAAAGTCAGTGTAACTTGAGAGCAGTTGTGCAGGAAGATCCAGGTTCCAGCCTCTCTCCGGTGTTCACTGCCTGGCCCCCTCCTTCACGAAAGAGACCCTGGCTGTGGCTTTGCTCCTGCATTCCAAGCTGTGGTGTGAAGGAGCTGTCTCTTGCCTTGCTGGGCTGGCGCTGCCTCATCAGAGCAGGGCTAAGGATGGAAGACAGACTCCTGTTGAAAATAAAGGTTTCTAAAGCAGCCCTGGGGTGGTGGTGGATGTTTCCGATGTGCACCCTCAGGAGCAGGGCGGTTTTATTCTGCTTCTGATGAAAAGTGGCCAAGCTCAACTCACCACTGGTACGTGCTGGGCTCAGAGATCAAGTCCATTCCCTCTGCAGAAGTCAGCTCATGACTGTGAAGCCATGGAAGCAGGAGTCTACACAGGCAGGCAGGAATGTGTGTGCCACAGAAAAGGGCCATGTGAGCAGTTCATGGCTGTGGCTGGGCCCAAGATAGAGTTGAGGAAGGGAGGATTTTTTTCTCAAGAGCTGTAACTTGTCCTTTACTTCCTGGCTGGAAAACCAGCATCTGGGAGCGCCAGGCTGGCTCTCACGGGAGCCTGCTGCCTGAGGCACACAGTGGTAGAGCTGCCTGGTTTGTCACATTGCTATGAAGACGCAGCAGAGCCTCCCCCAGACAAGGGCTCAGCCACAGAAAGTCCCTGGGATGGAAGAAGTCTGGCAAAGGGGAAGAGGAACTGCTGCAACGGTTCTCTAGAGGCTGGCTGTTGAGGATACCTTCCCTCTGGCAGGCCTTGTGCTGTGGCTGTGGGCACTGCGAGTTTTCTTCCCACACAAGGGAAGTGGATTCTGGCAGCTGCAGCTCACATGAAGAGGAAGCCTGGACTGAAAGGAAAGCCTGCAGCAGCCGCTGTGGACAAGTTGCAATGAGCTGTCCTCACCTCTTCCGTGAGCACTGCTGTTTCCAAGGCTGCTCAGGAGGAGGAGGATGACAGACCCTGGCCCCTCTCAGAGCCGTGGCTCCAGGGGCTGGGATGGTGCCCTGGGGCAGCACTGAATGAGGAGCTGCAGAGTAATCTGGGGGCAGATTCTCATTGCCAGGGCTGGGTTTGGGTGCAGGTGGCTGTGGTGACACAAGGAGGATCAAGCTCCCTGCCTTCCAGTAGTAGCTCTGCAGAGAAAAGGCCATAGCAGGAGATGGAGCAGAAGACAGGAGCAGGAAGGGAGCCGTGCCTGCAAAGCCAGAGAGCAGAAACCAAAGCCACCAGCAGTCCTGCATGGGCTGGTGTCCCTGAGGCACAGCAAAGGAAGAGGAAGCAGGGAACGCTGTACAGTGGGGACAGGCCAGAGCCTGGGAACAGAGACCTCCATACACGACCTCTAGATCAGCAGAAGGCAGTCAGTTTGTGAGGCTGAGGGTTCAGGGTGGGCAATAACAAAGGCAGAGCAAGAGACAAAACTGAGCTGAATGCTTTCCAAGGGCTGCTGGGAAGTTTCACCCCATCGACCAGAAAGGGCGGGCATCCATGTGGGGAGCACGGGCAGAACCACCCCACAGGACAGATTCATGAGGGTGATAGGAAGCATGGATCTCCCTGCGGTCAGGATGGGTGCTGGGGGCAGATAGCAGGAGGTAAGGCCAGTGCAGCTTCAGATAAGGCCTGGAGGGAAGAAGCAGCGATTAGAAGATCTGAAGGCAAATGGAACAAGCGATAAAGCAGATGGACACAGTGGATGGTGAGCGGGCCAGTTCAGCCCCGTTGCTCTGCTCCAGAGGGACTTTTGACTGTGCAACAAAGGAAATGAGGCAAGCTGCTCACATACATCCCCTGTGCATGTCCTGGCTTTCAGGATGGTCCCTGAGCTTGCACCAAGGAGCAGCGCAAGGCAACACCATAGGTGCAAAACAAGTTGCCCTTGGCTTGTCTCTTACCACTGTGCATGCAGCTCTTGGCAGGCCCCTCTGTGCTGCGCAGCAGTGTGGGACATGCAGGGGTGGACACTGAGAGTCACTGTGCTACCATACCCAGTAGAGACAGAGAGGTGCAGGCTGCAGGCACCCCGTAAACTAACCAGAAACCCACAGTGATACAAAGCTGAGTTGCTGGAGGGTGCTGGGGACAGCATGGAGTGTGCCTTATGGACAAGAGGCTCTTGGTGCAGCTTTCCCCAGGGAAGGAGGTAGCACCCACCCAGCTGTGGGTGCAGAGGGCTGCCCAGTGAGGGGGACATCACCCAACACTGGTGATGCTGAGCAATGGTCCTGCATCAACCCATGGGCTGGGTGAGGACTCTTTAAGAGCTAGCTGCAGGCAGAGCATGCGTGCAGCAGTAGGAGCCTTCTAGTCCCAGGCCAGCAGTGGAGAGCCCTCTCTGCCCCTACCCATGCATCCTTCCTCAGAGCTGGACACAAAGTGCACAGCTGGATGTGAGGAGCACGGCCCCATGGCTGCAGTGCACACAAACGCCCTGTTTATTGTTTGACACCAAAACAATCACAACCTTGGAGCCAGGCTCCCTGCAAAAATAAATACATTTCTGAGCAAGGGGCCTGGTGAGCAGGTTCCCACTGGCCAGCACCGCAGGCTGCGGTGGCATGGATGGGACAAGCTGCTCTGAGACCATGGGGTCCAGTGGAGGGTTGGTGAAGTCCCTGGTAGGGCAGTGCAAGAGGCAGCCCTCCCCCTGTGTGCGACAGGGCATGGTCACATAATGGGAACTGGGGGTTTCCATTGGGGTCCCACCTGTTCCCCAGGCTTGGAAGGCGGCGCAGCAGCCAGAGGAGCAGTGTCCATCCCCACCACAGCCATGCTGCAGGCAGCACTAATGCCTTGTGGCCGGCCGGGGGACTTTGTAGAAGTTGAACGTGGGAGGCCTGCAAAACCAAGGTCACCTGTGTTACCTCCAGCCACAGAGGGCAGCCAGGATGCACTGGGGTGGCACCTGCACCCACAGGAGAGACGGGACGGAGACTCCCACACCCCCACCAGCATGGCGGAGGCTGGGAGCACCAGCACCCTCAAACTTGGGATGGGGGCACCCCAGAACAGGTCCCACCTTCCCAGTCCTGCCCTGATACCAGCACCCTCCTTGGCCTGTACTCACCTGTTCCCCTCTGTGCCCTGTCCCCCCTCATGCCACAGGAGTTGCCCCCCACCCCACACAGGCACTGGCACTGCTACTTACATCTCCACAGCTTCATTCCTGGAGGGGAGGAAAGAGGGGACAGTGTCAGTGAGGCAAGACCCTGGCACAGCCCAGCATCTGTCAGTGGGACAAGGCCTCCCTCACAGCACAGAAGGAGGACACAGGGGCTGCAGGGTGCTGTGGTCCCCTCCATCCTGATTGCCCCATCTCAATGGACGCAGAGCAGGGGCTCCTACAGGCCTTGAAAACATGGCTGCCCCCACAGACCCATTGCCCCCTCCCTGGGCACACAGCTCCCCAGTGGCACGATTTCAGTTCCCCCATTTCCAGGCGCCGAGCCCGTGTCTCCAACCAGCTCAGTTGCTGGCTGCAGGGGAAGTGGAAGACCCCAAGGCCACCAGTGGGGCCAGCAGGCCTCACCACCGTGTCACCATGTACAGCCAGGGCATGGAGTGAGGAGGAGTGGGGCAGGAAGGGTGGCAGGGGCCACACGGCATGAGGGTGCTGCTAACCCAGGCACCCCTGCACAGGGAGCCGTCAGCAAATGGGCTGCACTGCAGGGCCTCAGCAGCTGGAAATCCACCTGGAAGCCTCTGGCCACCCTCAGGGGTTGGAGCTGCACTGACAGTGGGGCTACTGCTCAGAGAGCCCTTGGAGAGGCAGGGAAAGGGCCTCGGAAGGCTGGGGGGCGGCACCGGTGGCCATGGGTGGATGAGCAAGCACTGCTCCCTCGTGGCAACAGCACCAACCGTGCAGCGTGCTGTGTTCTGTGCTGTGCTCCCCTTTGGAGCCCCTCACAAACCATGGTGCAACGGACCCGTGAGCCAGGCTGGGAGCTGCAGCCATGCCATGCAAGCCAGGCTCCTTCCTCCGAAGGGGCTTGCACGCACTTCGGGCTGCGCAAAGAGGAGCTGCAGAGCCGGGCTCTTCTCCAGAACATCTCCATCCTCAGAGGCTGAAGGTCCCAAGCCACTCGCCCCCAGCCTGTGTTACTCTCGGACCAGGCACACAGGCTGCCATGAGGCACACGAAGGGGCAGTTTGCACTGTGCAGGCCCAGCGTGGTCACAGCGGGTGGGTGACTCCTCACCTGTAGACATCAGTGATGCTCATGCGGCGGTAGAACTTGGCAAGTCTGACGGCCAGGATGATGCTGGGCAGCAGGAAGAAGGTGCACCAGCCCAGGCTGAACCAGAAGGCATTCTGGGTGCAGGGGGAGAGCCATCAGGGCCCAGTGACTGAAAGAGCCTCTCCCAGCGCCCCCCTAAAGACCACCTATCCATCCTTTCTGACAGCCTGGCCTTTGCTCTTATCCATAGCAATCCCATGGGACGATGCCAAGCTCTGCTTGTTAAGACAGACAGGTACTCCTCATCCTGTGCATGATGGAACCTTGTACCACACGTGTGCCATCCCACACCGCTGCCCCACTCACCAGAGAGTCCAGGATGTAGTCACAGGTGATGGCCTCCATGTTATCCAGGGTCTGAGCTATGGTCTTGCAACGTGCCACGTCTTCCTTCAGCTGCACACAGGACATGTAAGTGTCCCCAGAACCCTGCAGCCTGTCCTCCCCTCCCCTCCACCCCAACAAGGCAGGCTCAACTCACCCCGCTCTTAGCCCAGGAGATGTAGGTCTCAAAGAAGTCCAACAGCTCCTCCAAGAAGGCCCACGTCTCCTGGGAGAGGGGCAAGCAGAGAGTGGAGGTGCTGCACCCCCAGCCCACCCAGTGCCCCCTCTGTGTCAGGATCAGGGCTGCCAAACCACCTCAACCAAGCCCCTTGCCTGGAGGGCCCTGAGGGCAGGAGGCACCCAGAGGTGCAGGGACCCCCAGAGAAGCCGCCAGGGCAGGATGGACAGCCAGATGTTGTTTGGCATCTCTGAGCAGAGGGAGGTCCTGATGTGGGGGTCCAGGCACAGCCCCTCAAGGTAGCCCTGCAGCAGGGCAAGGCGAGCTCACGTTCTTAATGATGTTCACGGTCTCACTTTCCAGGAACTCCTGGGTTCTGCTGGCTTCGGTCAGCGCAGTGTTTGTCTGTGCCTGGGGTGAAAGGTGCGCTCAGCAACGTGATGGGGAAGCGGGGTCCTCGCATCTCTCCCTGTCTGGCAGCAGCCACCAGTGCTCCCAGACTGCAGGTTTGCTCCCGCTGACTCCAATGTGGAACCTCAAGGGTGCTGTGCAGGGTGCCCTGGACCGGGGTGTGCTCAGGAGGCCCCCTTATGCAGCTTACCTTGAGCTCGGAAGCCCTGCTCTGCACCAAGTGGATGTTCTCCTTCAGGCTTTGCTGTGGATGGAGAGAGGGGGAGTCAGAGGAGGAGCCCACAGCTCAACTGAGACCATGCTGGCATGTTCCAAGCTCTCTGGGAGCACAAGCCAGAACCCCCAGCATCTTCCCCACCTGGGCATCACTCACCAGCTCCCCAGAGAAGCTCATCTGCATCTCCTTATCCAGCTCCCTCAACTTGAGAGCATCAGCCTTCAGGTCCTCTTTCACATCCAAGCCCTGCAGGAGCTGCAGTCAGTGATACCCCCACCATGGGGTCCTCGCCCCACCACAGCCGTCTGATGTGGGGCCAGGCTGGAGTTTTCTGGTACCCAGCTCAGTACACACACATCTGCAGAGCCTGTTCCACACAGCCAGTGGCTCTGGGGACAGGGCGGCCACGGTCCCAAGGTGCTGTGGTCTCTCACCTCTGTGTCTCCCAGCTGCTCCAGCTGTGCAGCGAGATCCAGGAGGCTTCCCTGTGTCACGCTCTGATCCAGCTGGAAAAGGCAGAGCCAGAGCCATGAGAATAGGGCTCACGGGGGGGGCATGCCCCATCCCTGCAGGGCAGACTGGAGCCAAGGCCTCCCGCATGAAGGAGGTGCCCCAAGGGGTGACACGAATGGCAAGAGACACCCCGGGAGCCTCAGTGGGAGTCCCACAAAGGGGAAGGCTCAATGGAACCCCCCAACACACATCCAGACCCCCCATCCCAACACCAGGCTGCTCCCAGCCCACCTGCTCCAGGGTGAGGGTGAAGTTGGGGGGCTGCCCGGCCCGGCTGGCATTTGTCAGCGAGTCTCTCTGGCTCTGGCTGAGCAGGGAGATGGGGTCCAGGGTGATGTGCATCTTCTCGAAGGCTGTGGAGATCTCTCCTGTGTACTGCCGGAGGAGGGGAGCCATGATGGGGCACGGTGTTGGCCCTGCACTGTATGCCTGCTCCCAGCCCCACACCTGCAGCTCTGCCCCCCCAGACCCTGGCACCCCACACTCACCTGGCTGATGTTCAGGAGCTCATCCAAGGACACGCTCTGGTCCAAGTGCAGTGTTTGCCACAGGGAAGCATCTCGCTGGCACTGCCTGCAGGATGGGGACAGGGGGGTGAAAACAGGGCTCCACCAGGAGCATGTCCTCATCCAGGCAGGGCAAGCTGCCCCCATCCCAGGGAGCACCCGAGGGTGCTGAGCAGTTGTACCCCTCCCCAAAGACACAGTGCCAGGACTGGGACCCACCTATAGATCTCTGAGAAGTTTGTTGTGCCATCCTGCTGGCCCAGCAGCTCTGACAGGTTGAAGCCAGGGACCAGGCCGGGGGTGTCCAGGATCTGAAAGGAGGGAAAAGATGGAAAAACTAGGTATGGTGGAGGGCAGGACACTGGGAGGAGCATCCCAAACCACCCAGCAATGCCTCCACTCCACCAGCGGCCCTCGGAAAGGCAGCAGTGCATCTGGGTAAGGGTATCTCCACATGCAGAGCTCACCTGGAAGAGCTGCTGGCTGCGCCAGGACTCACAGACAAGCATGTAGGTGTTCCCCCCCAGCACGAAGGTGATCACCACCAGCAGCATCAGCACCCAGGAGAAGATGAAGCTGAAGCCAACCCCTCTGCCAGGACAAACACTGTCAGCACCCAAGGCCACATGCCCCAGTGTTGGTGCTCTCTGTTGCTAACAGAGCCTGGAGCCTGCTCACCCTTTGCCCCAGGAAGCATCACCATTCTCATAGGCACATCTCACCCTGCCTTTGGTGCCAGGAGCACAGCCAGGCCGTACCCTGGGGCTCAGACCCAGGCATAGCTTTGCAAGCCAGCTGCAGAGCTGCAGGACCTCACACACTTGCCAGGTCGCTGCCAGCGATGGTTGGATGGGCTCTGCTTGAGCTCCTTGCACCAGCACCGTGTTTTACCCTTGCTTTTACCACCTGCACTATGAGTTACCATCATGCAGGCTGTTAAGCCGCAGTAACCTGATGATCTAACAGCTTGAGCATCCCACGGCCAGCCCTGCCCACCCATCCCACTGCTCCCACCCATCCCCAGCAGCCAAGGGAGCCTCACGCCATGAAGAAGTTCCCGCCGGCATTGGAGAGGCTGCTGCGCTGGGTGGGCAGCACGTCTGCCTTCAGCCCCAGCGGCCCCAGCACCAGGCCAACAGCATTGCAGAGGACCACCAGCAGCACCATGCAGCACAGGAGGACACACACGCTCCACCTGGGGCAGAGGAGGGGCAGGGGTCAGGCAGCAGGATGTGGCACCCCAAGCAGTGCCCAGCATCCCACCAGCTAGGGGAGGACGAAGCCCCCAGGCATCCCATTGGGGAAGGGGAACGGGTGTCTGCAAGACACAGCTCCGGCCACCTGCACCAAGCAAGCCCCCACCTCCAGAAGCTGGAGGATGCAGAGCCTGAGCCTCTCTGGATAAGGGAGCCAGGGGATGGCAGCATCCCCTTGCCTACCTGAGCCCATCCAAGGCAATGGTCGGTTCCCTGTACTCGTTCAGCATTGATGTGGCATTGCCCACGAAGGCCCCAACACTCTCCTCCACATCCCTGAGGGGCAGCTGGTCCTGCAACTGCTCCCTCAAGCTCCTGATCTCCTGCCTGATGAGGCCCAGCTCCTCCTGGGTCTCTGCAGGGGATGGGGACAGGTTGGTGCTGCAAGCTGCTGCCAGAGCCTGGGGCAGTGGGGAGCCAGAGGGGATGGGAAGGGGGCAGTCATGGCCAAAGACAGCATCAGCATGGTGGCACTTGGAGACAGCCAGGGCTGCAGGCAGCAGGGGAGGGCTCCAGACAGGGATGGGGTGAGAAGGAAAAAGAGAGCCCTGGGAGAGGGGTAATTCAGCACATGGGGCGCAAAGCCCTGCTTACTTGTCACCACATCCTGGGACCCCTCTTGCACCTTGTCAGTGATCGTGTTCAGTGTGTCATTGACCTGCATGTGGGGGGGCACAGCATATAGCTCACATCCCTGCCTGCAGCCCAGGGCTGAGCAGCACATCCCCTCCATCCCCAGATCCCAGTGGTACAGGTACAGGGCAGCCAGGCTCCCCCGGCACCCATCCACCACACCAGCACCCAGGGGTGGTGGCACAGCAGGCAGGCTCTGGACAAGGCAGGCCCCCAGCCAGCCATTCCCTCCACTGACAGCAACTTACTGCCATCAAGCTCTTCCCGAGCCACCCCCCAGCAGCACCCAGGCGCAGGGGCACCCCTTACCCTCTCCAAATCAAGTGCTATGTTGGAGTCCGACACATCACGCAGTGCCTCCAGCTGCTGCTCCACACTGGGGATCTGTGGGGAAGAGGCTGTGGTGATGGGGCTGTGGGGGGCCGGAGGGAGCCTCACCCCACACGCTGCCCCCCCTCACCGTGCTGAAGTTGGTGCTGAAGGCCAGGCTGTGCAGGGACACGCTGCTGCAGGGCTGGCCGCAGCGCTGCAGGGTCTGGTTGAGCCCATCCCGCAGCATGGCCAGCCACTCGCTATAGTTGCTCTGCAGAGCCTCCAGGTGCGAGCGAGTGCTGGCAATGCTGCTGAAGGCAGCCCCCAGTGTCTTCATCTCTAGGGGGACAACACAGAGCTCATCCTGCCAGTCCCCATCCAGATGAACCTTGAGGACGTAGGGGCACCCCCCAACATCCCAGTGTTTGCCCCAGGCTGCAGCTGGGAGGCCAGATGGATCCCCCCTCCCTGGGAGCCTTACCCAAACATGCACATAGCCCAGCTCTCAGCCCTGGCATCTCCCCCTGGTCCCTTCCAAGGGATTGAGCCGTTACCTTGCAAGAGGCCCTGGAGGGATCCCAGAGCCCCGTCTGTGCCGCTCCTGATACTCGCCATGATCGTGCCCCCCAGGTTGAGCCCAATGTCTGCAGAGATGGGAGGGTGTCAATGGTGGGGTCTCAAGGCCTGCAGGAGAGCTGTCAGAAACAGTCCCCCCGTGTGGGACCCCATCCCACTCCCAGGGGGCAGAGGGGACACCACCACACTGCCACCGCCTGCATCACCCTCCCCAGAGAGGAGCATGGGTAGGGAAAAGCAGCATCTGGAGCAGAGCAGGAGTCCAGCAGAGACCCCAAACCCATGAGAGCCAGCCCAGCAGCCCGCAGAGACAGCAAGCATCTGCACGGCAGCAGGGCACTCACGGAGCACCCCCAGCCCACTGCATGGCCGCTTGCCGTGGGTGCACTGGGGATGCTCCAAGCCCCTCTGCCGCACATCCTCACCCTGGAGGCTGCCGTTGGCGTGGCTCAGCGGCACGTCGCTGCTGTCGATGATATAATTGATTTGCTGCAGGAACAGAGACGGGTTATCAGTGAGGAGCCTTCCTCGGGGGGCTATTTGGGCTGCTGTCCTCCCCTTCAGCCCCTTGCCCCCCATCAACCATTCCAGCCAGGGAAGGGGGTTCAGGCGTGCCTGGGGGATGGAAGCCACATAGATGTGGACGTTGTTGAGGGTGGTGTTGACGTTGGGGAAGGTACTGCACACAGCCTGGGAGAAGCGAGTGTTGCTGATGAAGGCGCAAACATCCCCAGCCCTACGAGGGAAGGGTGGCGGGGTCAGCGTGTGGGGAGCTCAGCCCTGATGCTCCCACCAGGGAGCCCCTGAATCCACCCACACCAACCCCAGGCTGCAGGGTCCACTGAGCCCTGCTTCCAGAGCATCCCTGCACACAGCCAAGGGACCAGAGAGGAGGAGCACGGGACAGTGAGGCACAGGGGAGCACCCGCTGCGGGGTGCACCCGCAGTTCCCACAGTAAAGCTATCGGGAACACGCAGCCCCCCCCCCCAGGGCCAGCTCCCCACTGCTGCCGCTTCCTCCCCTTTGTCCCTCCGTGCTCCCGTGAACAATGGCAGCTTCCTGACACCGCCGCCAAGCGCCGGCCTTTCCACCCGCCCCTGGGTCCCGTCCGGAGCCTCCCGGCAGCGCGCTCACAAGAGGAGAGCGGAGGTGAGCAGGAGCGAGGCCCAGAGCGCCCGGCGCCGGCAGCCCCTCCGCCGGCCCTGCTTCTGGTACATGCGGCCCCCGCAGTTCCCGCAGCAGCGGCAGCAGCAGAAGCAGCATCCCACCAGCGGCACCAGGAGGGTGAAGAGCAGCCCGATGGCTGTGCAGACCAGGAAACCCAGCTCGTACCGCAGCAGCTGGCAGGGGAAGAGAGGAAGCGTCCATGGAGGCTTCCCAGCTGTGAGGGTCCCATCCGGACCCCCAGGATGGGTGCCACCCCCCCAGGGGTTGCACATCTCCCCTTGCTGACGGCCATCACCCAGGGCTCAGCCTCAGAGCATCACCCACCAGCATCCCCCAGCCCGTGGTGCTCTGGGCTGCTGGCTCCCTGCTCACCTCCTCAACTTGCTTCCCGGTGGTTTCCTCATTCTCTGACTGCCCCAAACCTGTGATGAGGTCTGGGGAAAAGGAGCAGAGAGGAGAGTGAGGAGGCGCTGGGCCCTGAGGTGCTGTCTAGGAGGGCCCCAATACCCTGCTCTGCACAGAGAGGGGCCCTCAGCACCGGGCATGACCTCCAGTGCTGCAGCTCAGAGTGGCTGTGAGGGCATGGCATGTTTCTGCCTTCCAGCTGCCCCTCAGCCTTGTGTCTCACACCTTTTGCATCCAGAAGCACTGCCCAGCACCCAGGCTCACAGGGGTCCCCAGAGCAAGGGGGTCCTCACCCCAGGAGGATGCTCCAATAGCCACATTGGCTGCCCTTGAGCTGCTCTCCTGCAGCCCATCCCATGCAGTGCAATGGTGGTGTGAACGCTGGGGCAAAGTCCCCCCACCATCCTGCCTCCTGTATCCCCAGAGTTCATCCTGCCCGTGTCCCATGGCCTCATTACAAGCTATGCTGGCCCACGGTGTGATTGTGCCCTGCTATCTGTGTGCCACTAACAAGGCCACAAAGCCATTGTGTCGTTTGCCCACCACACGTTTGCCTGCAAGTTGCTGGCAAGCAGGGGCTGGGCCCAGAGAAGGAGGAAGCACAAATGCCAGCAGCCAGGGTGGCACAACCACCTGGAAGGCAGCACTTGCCCCAGGGCATCAAGCAGCCACAGGGTCCTGGCATCGCCCAATTGGACCTGCCACCACTTTGGGACAGAGATGTGCCAGCCCCACATCCCCTTGCAGGAGGAGGAGAGAGGGCGCTGGCAAGCTGGGCAGTGCGCAGGGAGTGCCTGCAGTGCTGCCCTGTGGGCACTGGCATTGGGACACGCTGCTTTTGGTGACCGGGTCCTGCCGAAGTACACCTTATCACCTGCAAGCACAGAGCGCTGCAAGCCAGGCAAGGGCCCCGCAGACTTACAGATACCACAGGGTTTGCTCTGCACCTTCTGCCTGGCATGGAGATACCTGGAGGGAGGATGGGGCAGGACCCTGCAGGGTGTCGCTGCCAACAGAGCCTCCCCTGGGCCCCGTCTGAGACTGCCGACAGTTGTGATGGGACGCAAGCAGGACAGAGCTGGTGGTTGTCAGGAATCCCCCTCCATTCCCCCCACCATAACCCTCTTAACCCAGCACCCCGGCATTTAAATGCTGGATGGACAATCTCAGTGCAGGAGGGCTCAGGCTCAACCAGGACCTTGCAGCTTCAAACACCCCCCCACCCCATTGCCAGCCCCCCATCACCACGCACCCACCTATGGGTAAGGCGTTGGGCTGCACCATCCGCAGGAATCCATGGACCAGCCCCACCAGGCGCGGGGTGCTGCTCCCCGGTGCCTCGGGGCCGGGGCCATACACAGGCTGCGAGATGTTCCCCATCAGCTCCATCGCGGCAGCTCCGGTGAGCACCTGGGCACAGAGCGGGGCTGTGGCTGGGTGCTGGGTGCTGGGTGCAGGCTCCCCTCCCTCCTGCCTCCGAGCAGGAAACGTGGGCACAGAAAAACAAGGCACCTGCTGGGTCCTGCCCGGAAGGAAAGAGCTGCGGGACGGCACCGAGCAGAGGTGGGGATCCTGAGCACAGCGGGGCGGGGGAGCGGGCAGGAGATGCCCGCCAGAGAGGCTGCGGGGGATGAAGCAGGGACCAAGCCCTGTCCTCCGGCACCTCTGCCCCAGGGCCCGGCCGCACAGCGCCAGCGCCCGCGTTTTATGGCTTGTTTAAGGTTCAGCTGCTTGCGGTGCCGGCATCGCCCCACCCTGCCTCTGCCACTGTCACCTCCTGGCACACGGCCACCCCAGGCTGCCTCTGTACCCGGGTCAGGGTCAGCACCGGCCTGCCCCAGCACAGCGCAGGGGAGGTCCCTGCAGAGCGGCCGTGCCCATTCTGCTTCCCTGCTCTTGGTTTCCTTCCCCGCAGTGATCCCGAGAGCAGCCATCCCGCCTGCTCCACCCCAGCACCAGCTGCATCCTTTCAGGACGGGCGCACTGCGCCGGCCACAGACCCAGGGCTCGCATTTACAACTTCCCAAACGGGGCGCTGCGGCAAACCCAGCCTTTTCCACACTCACCCCGCTCCCCCGAGTGCGGGACAGCCGCAGGAGCCGCGCACGGGGTTTCCCCTCCAAGGCTGCAGCTCTGCCCGGCTCCATCCCTCTCCCTGCCCACCGAGGGGTCTCCACGCTCGGGACCCACGCGTGGCTCTGCCCCTGCCACCGCTCCTGGTCCTTCACCCCCGCCCCGCCGCCGGAGCTCTGGGACCCGCAGCCGGGGGCAGGGAGCGTGGTCCCGGTGGGCGCGGGGCTGGAGCCCCGGGGGTCGCGTCCCGGCGGGCGGCGGCAGCAGCAGGAGCTCCTCTGCAGGGTTCAGCCCCGCACCGACCCCGCGGGACGGGCGGGCAGGGCTGGAGGGGGCCGCCCCTTCCGACACGGCCCCCCCCGGGGCGTGCAGCCTCCCGGGACCCCCCTTTGCCGGAGGGAGCGCCCTGTACCCGCCCCGTGCCTGCCCCATCCCACCCTGACCCCCGGCTCGGGTGCGGGAAGAGCCCATTGCCCCCAGGACCCCTACCCCATGCCCAGGTGATGCTGCTGCTCTGCCCAACAGACCCAGCTCTGGCTCCACACTGCCAGACCCATGCTGGCTCCTCCAGCGGACCACCCTGCCACAGCCCCCATGCTGCCCACCTTGCCCCCATGCCAGCCTTCAGCTGTGCCCAACACCTCCCTGCTGCAGCCAGTGCCCCCCAGCATGGCCCTTGGTTCCTGCATGGGGCAGCATGTGCGTTTGAATGGGCTCTGCAAGAGGTCTGCAGGAACCATACCCTTTGCCCTTTGTGCTGTGCTGTGATTTAAACCAGGCTCCCTGGCACCCCTGTACCAATGCTTTGCTGGCTGCCACCTCCCCAGTTTGTGTTCCCTGGCACAAGCAGGACTCTCTGCTCTCCATGACCTTGGGGGAAGGTGGCACAGGAAGGCAGCTCTGCCTCAGGGTTCCCTCTTGGCCTGGCCCATGCTGGGTGCCAGGGCACAGTGTGGGACCCTGCAGCTCAGCACTGGCACCAGGGCAGGACACGGGGAGGACACAGAAGCAAGGGGAAAACCAGAGCAGGAAGTAGCTCGTTTTTCCCAGCACTGGGGCTGATGTAGGAGGGAGGTTTTGGGGTTTCTTGGGCAACCTTGGCCTTCCCAGCTCAGACCTGAACCCCAAAGCGTTGCTTCAGGGCTCTCCACCAGCAGAGCTGGGTACAAGGGACCCTGTGTGGGACGGGGACCGCTGACCTGGGTGCTGTCCTTCTGCATATCCCCATGTCCCCAGCTCCTCGTGGCTGTGTGAGGGCAGGAGCTGCTTCCGCAGGGCATCGCTCCCCTGCAGCCCAGGGACCCCGCTGGGGCTGCCAGAGCTCGGTGCACGTCAAGAGGGGGACACCAGCACCTCAGCCCTGGTGGCACCATGCCATGGTCTCACCGGGAGCCACGAGCTCCCACCAAGGCACATGTATCCTGCAACCCCCTGGCCCCCAGCCCTATCAGCGGGATGGACAGCAAGCAAGGTGGCATCTCTTGGTGCACGTATCGTCCCTGCCCTGGCTCCAGAGACATGGAACCACCCTCCTCTGCCTCCCCATCAGCCTGCTTTCCCCAATGTTCCTTTTTCCTCCCTGATCACTGCCACATCTGCCCCTACCCCACCATTACCATAACCCCATTTGCACATTTGGCCAGGAGGGGTGTTTTAGATGAAACACCCGGTTTTAACCCACTGTATCCCTCCTTTGTTCCCCCCCACCGGCACCTCCCTGCTGCTCCGCTGCTGCTTCCATTCCCACAGCAGGTCCCCAGGAGACGTGCCCATCACCTTGGCATCCTGGCAGGCCCGGAGCTGCTTGTTTGCTCTGGCTCAGGGACAGGGTTGTTTCCCAGCAGCCCCGTGCTCTGTCCTTGCTGGGGTTTCTGTTTTCCACCACGGCATGGCAGGGAGCCGGCCGGAGCCTGGCTGGGAACCAGGAGCCCAAGGAGAGCCAGCATCATCCTGGGAGCACCGAAACCCCGCTGCCAGGGCACAGGGGACACGGGGTTGCCTTGCTTGCATCAGCCGGGTCCCGTGCTCAGGAATAAGCGCTCAGGACAGCCTCAAACCGAAAAGTCGTTTTATTGGTACCATACATGACTCATAAATGGCACAAACTATGGAGGGGAGGAGGAAAAAACCCAAAACAAAACGAAAAAGAAACAAAAAGGCATTTCAGTGTGCCGGGGCAGGGGGGGGAGCGAGGGGCCCGCACCCTCCACAGAGCCTGGCAGCCAGAATCGTACCTTAACTGCAACCAGAGCCCCACTCCCCACCATGATGGGCTCCCACCTGGAGCCACCCCCCCACAAAGGGGATGTGGGGCTGAGCCCTCCACCTCCAGGCTGCCCCTGGACGGGCCTGGAAGGTGAAGCAGGCGACTCTGCGGGCAGCTGGGGCTTGAGAGCAGCCCAGGGCCTCCCATCTCATGGCCGACCCCAGGGACAGCAGAAAGAGGGGGGACACAGCGCATCCCCCACCCCCCCAGCTCAGCCACCCCCTGCAGTCCCAGCCACAAGCAGGTAAGACACAGGGTGCAACCACGGGGCAGCGGGACACGAGCTGTGAGAACTGGGGGGGCGTTGGTAGAGAGAGTGGGGTGCACCCCAAGACCCCCCCACCCCCGGCTCCCTTACACACACACGGACACACACGAACCTCTCGCACACGCACCCTTGCACACGCACCCCCCACCCCTGCAACCCCACCTCGGGGGGGGCGCCCCAATCCCCGGCTACCCCCTCCGAGGCTGCTCTGGGGTGAGCTGGTGAGCACAGCCGCCCTCCCCCGGCACCTCCCATCTTCTCCTTGGAAGAAGCCTTGGAAGGGATTATTTTTTTTTGTTGGTTTTTTTTTCTTTTCCCCTTTTTTTTCTTTCCTTTTTTTTTTTTTTTTAAACCAAAAAAAAAAACCCCAAAAATTATTATTATTTTTCTCATCGTTTCCCCTAACATCGATGGAGGCACCTGCTCTAGTGATAACACATTGAAAGAACAGTATCGTACACACTGTCTACAGCGCGGCAATGTACAAGCACGAGGTACACGAACCCGAGGGGAAGGGGGGGGGGGGAGCAGGGACAACAGCACACAAGATTTACATTGAGGAAGGGGAGCAGGGGGGGGGGGATGCTCTCCCCCCCCCCGACCCCTGGAGGGATTTAGAAAGGAAGTCTGCAAAGTCTCTCCTTGGTTTGAAGCTCTCCGAACTGGATATAAAATGAGACTCCCAAGAGAAGAAGCCTGTACAAAAGTCAGGACAGGGTGGGAGGGCTCAGGGTGGGGAGGGGGGAACTGGAGGAAGGGCTGGGAGGGGGGGGGGGGATTTTCCCATTTTTTTTCTTTTTAAACTTACAATTTTAATAATATTATTTTTTTCTTTTTTCTTAAAAAAAGACAAAAGGAGGTACCAGGGGCTGCAAAGGGCCCCGGGCGGGCTCACACAGGGCAGAGGGGACACACAGGGGTAGGGAGCGACAGCAGAGGTGTGGGTCCTCTGTGACCCCATCCAGCCCCCCCACCACACACTTCTTGTATAGAGTCCACCCTGGCCCTGCTGCACTCTTGCCCCTGGGAGCGAGGGGAAGGGGAGGGTGCAGGGAAGCAGGGATTGCGACAGGCCCTTATCCTCAGCACCCCCCCAGCGCAGCAGGAGCTGACCCCGATGGAGGAGGCTCCGTGGCAGAGCTGGAAAGGCTTTTCCATCACTGGACACCCTCCACCAGCCCCACGTTGGGCTGGGGATGCGCAACCCCACTGCAGGCGGCTGCCCAGCAAACCCCAGCCATAGGATCCAGGGGGAAAGAGGAAGAGGAGGGTATCTGGGCTGTGCCAGACCCCAATACGCTGCCGGCTTCCCGGTCATGCCGACACCTCCCTCCTAATTCCAGCGGGCTGGGGCTGGGCACATCGGGGGACAGGGATGAGAAGCTCTCCAGGGAAGAAGCAGGGAGGAAGAGGGAGAAGAGGGAGTAACGCAGCTACAGCCCCGGAAACCCACCCCTGCACTGGGGTCCGGCGGGGAGGCAGGCGTGGGGGGAGCAGGGAGGCGGCGGGGGCAGAGGGCTGGGGGCTGCTCGCTTGGCCGTGCACCGCCGATCTGCCCCCAGTACCTCGCCGCTTCCCAGTTACTCTCCGTTGCAAATGTACAGGTAGATCGGTTGGGACTGAGTCCACGGGGCGGCGGGGGGGCCGTTACTGCGACGCCTGCGACGTGGGGTTCTCTGACTTGCTCTCCTGGCTGGAGGGCGGTTTGCTGTTCCAGGGGCTGTTGGCCCCCAGCGCAGGCGAGTTGTTGAAGCTGTCCTCGTCGTCGATGCCGTTGGCGGCGTCAAACTGCGTGTTCTCCAGCCGGGTGATGAGCCGCTCGTCCTCGTCCCCAAACTCCCCCCCCATCAGCGTGGGCTCGCCTACCACCATCACATCCTGAAAGGGGAGACGGTCCCGAAACATAATCGAGGTGGGGGGAGCCTGGGCCGCCAGACCCCCCCCCCCCAAACACCGCAGTCCCTTTCCCCAGCCATGAAGCCACCTCCTCATCTCCATTGCAGGACCTGAGGCTTGGGCACTGCATGGGGCAGCACATCCTCACCCTGCTGCAGGGGAGCGAAGCAGCTCAGGGAAGGCAGCTGGGACACCTTATTCTCCCCAGCACCCAGAGAGAGCTGAGGGGTGCTTGTACAGGCAGTTCCCAGGGGTCGGGCCCTAGACACCCCCATGGGCTGGGGCAGGGAGCCCTCCCCTCCACCCCGGGGGAGGAAGAGAGAATGGAAACGGGATGCTTACAGGTACCTGACTGGACAGGGCAAAGGTGCTGGCTGGACTCTTCTTCTTGCTGTTGCTGTTGTTGGTGTTTCCCCCACCGGAGCTCATGGTGCTGCCCCCCGACATCTTCCTTTTCCGGCGCTTGCTTGGCTGCTGCCGTGCTGGCTCCGCTGGTGGATGAGGGAGACATGGTCAGTCCCGATGGGAAGGAGTCAGTGCCCTCCAGCCCCTTGTCCGCAGTGGCATGCCTCCCAGGGCAGCATCACCACCCTCCTCCTCACCGTAGCTTCACCATCCCCCCAGCACAGGGACAGGAGGGGCAGGGGGCCGCCTGCCCCACTGCCCCCAGCCTCACAAGACGAGGCCAGGGATGGGCTCTGGGACTGGGAAAAGCCTGTGCCAAGGACAGGGCCTGATCAGGCAGCCCTGGAGACCTGCAGGCAGCAGGGCAGGCAGCGTGAGACTCACCAGGCGGAGCCACCATCCGCTGCCACTTCTGGAAGAGGCAAGTCTTGAGGCAGTCCCGGGGACTGAGGCTGTAGGTCTTGTGCCGTGACATGAGCTCCTGCATTGGTTCTAGGATTACACAGAGCTGCAGGGAGCAGACAGACAAGGGGGTTAGATCACGATGCTCCAGGCCCCAGCAGACCCACAGCTCTCTGCAGCCCATCTGCATGATCCCTCCCACACCCCAGGGTAGCCAGGCATCGGGCACCTTGGAGCACAAGAGATGGCCTCCCTAGGTCCACCCCAGAGCAGGAGGAGGCCTGCATCCCTCCCTTTTCATGCACACTTACTCGGAGGTAGTTGAGTGTGGAGTTTGAGAGCCCACAGCGGGTGATGTTCTTGGATAACTGGTCCAGCATCTGGGGGTCCTGTGCCTAGCAATGAGACACAGACGACTCAGCTGCATGCGGGCTGGGGATGGCCCTCCCATTCCCCTGCCTGTGACGGGGGTCAGGGCTGAGGTCCCCCAGCCTGCATTGCATGAAGAGGACAGCAGCCCCATATCACTCATGCCCCAGGGGAGCTCCAGAGTGGTACTCACATGCATGGCAAGGATGCTGCGAGGGATGAGCTCTCGATGCTGGCGGATGCTGAAATGCCACGTCTTTATCCTCATCATGTCGTCGAACATGAACTCTAGGTAGAGCCGCCCCTCCACACACACCTGGGCAGGGCGCAGGGTCAGGCACAGGCTGCTCCCACGTCCCCCAGCCCACATCCCCTGGGAACCCACTGCGCACTGGGGACACCCTCCCGGTGGCTCGTCCCCACCTGACCCAAGCCAAACCCAGGAGCACACACAGGGCTGTGGCCACCACGGGGACCGAGCCACGAGGGGCAGGAGAACCCATGGGCACAGCCAGTACCTGGGTGAACATGGGCTTGCCGTGCTGCGTGACCATGGTGCACTGGTCACAGTCCAGCGAGACGAAGTTGTTGTGGAAGGACTCCTTGGGGTGCTTGAGCACGTAGTAGAGCTCTGTGGCCCCCCCTTCAAAGATGCTGCGGAAGTAACGGGGAATCAGAGTCCGGCCAATCGCTGGAGTGGGAGAAGGAGGAAACTATGGTCAGTGAATCTGGATCACGCTGATGTGCCTTGGGGCTGTGTGTGTAAAGCATCCCCCACGCCTGCTCGCTGAAGGCAGCTGAGCTCTAACACCCTGCCCACAGCCCCCTGTGCAGCACAACCACCGTGTCCCCTGCCAGAGGGGCAATAACGCCCTGGGGAAGGAGGACTCAGTCTGGTACTCACTGTATCTCTTTGGTCCATCCTCCAAGCAGAAAGTGATTGTTAACATGGCGTCATCCTCAAAGAACTCCGTGGTGAAGGCATCCCACCACAGATTGTCACATTCCTGGGGATGGCAGATAGATGCTAGGTTATGGGGAGGAGAGGCAGACAGACCAACAGACAGCTTCTGGATGCCTAGCACAGCAGCCACATGCTCAGCCCCTGGAAGGCTGCATTCCTGCCTGATGGATATGGGGATGATGAGGCCTGTCTCATGGCCAAGAGAGGGACAAGGCACTTGGGGACCTGCACAGCAGGACAGGACCCCTCTGCCAAGGGGATTTCTGCTAGAGCCAAGGCAGCTCGTGAGGGCAGGCAGCAGACAGGACTCCATCCCCAAAACACACACCTAGGAGCATCCTCCCACCCTGGCCACCCCTCACTGCCCAGCTCCTCACCTCTGTCCAGTTCTGCAGCCGCTTGTTGAGCTCGAATATCCTGTAGTCAGTCTGGTTCCCGTACGGCGTGTGCCTCCTGCCCAGAGAGCAGAGCAGTCAGGGGGGGAGGCAGCCACAGGGTCCTGAGCACACGGTGGAGGGACACAGAGCCCCTCCAGGGCTGGGCAGTCAGAGCATCCCCTCCCAAACCCCAGCCAGCAGTGCAGCCCCTCTAAGGCACCCCCACCATGGGCACAAGCTCCCCTGCCAGCCCTCAGTGCTTACCCGATTCCAGGCTCCAGGTACGTCGGTGGGTACATGGGAGTAGGACTGGGGAGGAAAGAGATGCAGGCAGGTCAGTGCTGGGGGGGGAACTCCCTCCTTGCCCACCACAGCTCCCCCTTCCCTGCCTATAGCAGCAGGCACTGGGTTCACTGGAGGCAAGACCCCACACATGGCACAGGCTGTAGCCTGGCTGCTGACATCAGACAGCCCCGTGGGGTGACCTGCACCCCTGAAACTGGGCTCTGGATGGTGTTCTCTGCTCCTGCTATGAGGCCTGTGGCTCTCTAGGGACATGCCCAGCTCCTCTGCAGCGGGGGCTGGTGCCATGCAGGACGGAGGTTGGAGAAGGGGCTGTTTTGGCAGGAGCTGAGAATGCTCCTGTCCTGCATCATGCCAGGGGCTTGGCCTGACGAGGGGCTTGGTCCCACACAGCTCAGGGACCTGGGGGCTCTCTTCATCCCAAATATCACCATTTCTCCCCCCAGTCCCACCTGTGCCTGTTCCAATCCCCTCTCCCCTTGTGCTACTTCAACTCGTGTGCTGTGCTACCCAGCAGAGACACCCTAGGGTGCAGGCTGCAGGCCCCGGCTCACCCCACATCTCGATCCAGCATGGTGCCCGGGTGGAAAGGGGGGAAGGCGTTGCCGTTCGGGGGCTCCTTTGGCGAGTACAGCTTGAACGACTTAGAGGAACAGCCTGGAGAGAAAGAGGGGACACGGGTCAACTGGGGGCACCCTGCTGCAAGGAGGAGGAAGGATGCAGGACCAGCCAAGCCTCCATCAGCACAGCCCCATCCTGCCTCTGCTCCCCCCTGATGCCAGCCCAGCCCTTTCACCCCACACACAGGTCCAGGTCTTGCTCATACGGGACTGGACCCACAGGATCAGGACTGAGCTCTCAGGATCAGCAGCCAGAGGGGTCCAGCACCATCCCAGGGATCTTTCACTGGTGCCCAGTTTGCCAGTTCTCAGCTGGCCTGGCTTTGGGGATGGTGCCTGAGGGGACAGCCCCTGACGAGGTAGGGGGAATGGAGACACTGGCTGGGCCCTATCCTTCTATCCTCCCCCAGCTCCCCCTCCCATGCTGCTCCTAATCCCACCGACCCGACCCTGGAATCACACGGGATCTTTTTGCTGACCTTTCTATCGTCATGGTGACGGGTGAATAATCGCCCGGAGGGACGGATGGCTGGTCCCCAGGCAGCCACCATCTGCCGCTCGCTCGCTGGCTTGGGCAGGCAGCGGCTGCCCAGCTCGGGGAGGATGTAGAGATCCCACCATGCACCAGCCCCGCACCCCAAACCCTCGCTGTGTGCCCCCCAGCACTGGGGCAAAGAACAAGGAACCCACGGAGGACCATGGGGTGCGATGGGGCACACAACATGTGCAAGCCAGCACCCGTCTCTGACAGAAACATGGGGACACCCCCCCGGCCTGGCGATGGGAGACAAGGATTCCCATGGGATACACCTGCATGGCTGGCTCCCGAGGGGCTCCCATGCTCAGCAGCCCCCTCCTGCTGCCGGGGCAGGTTTTGGGGTGCGGCGGCAGCACCACCCCTCCCTGCGGGAGCCCCGGCACACCCCGCGGCTGGCAGGCCCCGGCACGCTGCGGCGGGCGCTGCCGAGGCACGCAGCTCCCCCCCGGCACAGCCGGGCAGACGGGCTGACCTGGATGGGGAGCAGCGGCGGGCGGCAGGCCAGGCAGCTCCGGCTCCACCAGCTCAGCCAGCACTGCTGCACACGGGCACGTCTGCCCATGCCGCGCTGCAGGCGCAGGGCACGAAGCCTGCAGAGGGACAAGGAGGGATCCCCATCGGCTGCCCTTGTGCCCGCAGCCCTGGGCTGGGCAATCCCAACACCCACGAGCTGCCAGTACTGTAGAAAGCAAGCCCACTGGTGGAGAGGGAGGCACCGCTGCCCAACTGCACATCACCGCACAGCCAAGCTGCAGGGAAGAGCACAAGGTGGAGCAACCACCTGGCTGCAATGGATGAAGAAGAGGAGCAAAGACTATCAAGGTTAAGGAAAGCAGCGCCAGCAGCTCTGGGACCCAAGATGTTCAGCTTGATGCAGCCTGTTAACTAACACAGGAGCCCAAATGACCAGGGCATCACCATCAACACCGCTGGGCCACTTGTGATCCCAAGCCTGCAGCAACAGCAATCACAGACAAGAGCCAGTCAAAAACAGAGGGAGTCACCTCCTCAGCATTAAATCCAACCTGCAACAGAGGAAATATTCATTTCACTCCTTGATCCTTGTCTTCCTGGGGCCCTGGTGCCTTCCCGCTGTGTTTCTCTGCAGCCTCTCCCCACCAGGACACACCAGTCCCTGGGGGCTCACTGCTCCTGCTCCTCGCTCCTGCCCGCCTGCAGCAAGGAAAAGTGGGGCACGGCACCATTTCCCAGTTAGCTGCTAACAACGGCAGCCCCTTGCTCTTACCCAGCATTCTCACAGATACACATTTCTTTAACAGGGAGGGAGCTTGGTGCTGGTGTAAGGGAATTTGTGCTCTCTGCTTTACCCCGCCAACTTGTGCCCAGTGGAAATGACAGCTCAACTGGGACAGCACTAGAAGCACAGCACTGCCACTTTCTCCGTGTTGCTGTTGAGTAACACGATGTCAAAGCATGCTTGATTCATAGCAAACTTCCCCAAAGTGCGTGTCTTCTGTTGGAAATGAACTGATCCTGTAGGCAGAGAGAGCAGTGGCCAGAGAAGGAGCTGCACGGATGGTTTTCTGGTCGCTATGTCTTCTGAGGAGGGAGAAAAAACTCAGACCCAGCAGGGCTTGTTCTTCAATGCTCTGTTTTTATTCACCAGTGAGAGATGGAAGGAAAAAGCCCTCATGGTTTCTTGCTGTCCTCAGTTCCTCTTGCTTCTCGGTGTGCAGGAAGGTAACTCATGAAGTGGTGAGACATGGGGCACACATCACTCTCCATCTGTTGTGCTTCTCATGCTGTTCCCTAGCCCCGTGCTCCTGGAGGTGGGACAGTAGGTGAGCCAGCCCGCTGCTCCCAGCCCAAGCATCCGTTTCCATCCTGGACCTTCCCAAGCAGGTTAATATGGACACAACCTGCTTCTGGGGCTTTGCTGAGTGACCTATCTCAGGATCTAGAGGAGGGGAGAGGAGCCTGTTATGTGACCTCAGCAACAGCGGCATCCTGACCAAGTGTTATTTTTAACACAGCATAAAATAAGTTACAGGATTCAGTGGTTTTAAGTAAGGCTAACAATAGCCTGAGGATTGATACAGGCTGCCCAGATCCTACACTCACTGTACACACACTACACGAAATAACACAGTTAACATATAGCAGCATCAACACCAACTTTTACCCACACAAAGGCCACACTGCCTGGTCTGGGAGATCCCTCCATCACCTCCTCTCCCCTTCAGGCTCCCTAGCTCCCTGCAAGCCCCATCCCACCAGGTGCCATGATCCAGACCCAAAGATGCGGCCCTTTCCCAGCCAAGCCCAGCGCTTGGCCCCAGCCGATGTCTCCCATGCCCCTGCTGCCTCCTACTTCAAGCACAGAAGATTCAGGCAGGCTCAGTGCAAGCAGGGATGCTGCTTGGCATTCGGGTGTGCGATGCCCCTGTAGACCCCAAGCTGATGGATGCAGCTTCCCTTGCCCATCCCCAGGCGCTCACCCAGCTCCACAAAAACACGTGCATGGTCGGCAAGGCAAAAAATGAGGCTGACGCTGCAGCTGGTGAGCTACCAGCCCAGACAGGCCCGAGCAGCCAGCACAGTGCCTGTGGCTGGCCCCATGGCTCCTCCTCAGCAGGGAGATGGGAGAAGGGAACCCCACAGAGGGATGCCCCAGCTAAGCATCCTCGGAGGCCAGGTCCCCGGGTGGGGGCAGGATGGAGCTGGTCAGCCCTGCACAGGGCTGCCAGGAGAACCGGAGCAAGGAAGCAGCTCTGTGTAGGCAGGTGCATGGGAAGGGAAGGCAGCGCTCTGCCCGTGACTCATGTACAGCCCGGCACTGCCCAGCCCTCTACCTGTCTTCCCCTCTGCTTCCCTGCAGGAAGCTCTCATGGTGCACTGCCCAGTGGGTTCGCTGGAGCAGGAACAGCTAAAACCCTAACCAAGCCCCCAGAGCTGGTTAGGAGTCAAGAGCACTGTGGGCACCCTGCAGAGCCACCACAGGCAGAAGAGACCAGGCACTGCGAGTGGAGCTGCCTGCCCAGGCAGGGGACACACAGGGCCTTCCCTGGTGCCTGGCAGGGAGAACAGAGGGCAACGCAGGCAGGACTGCACTCCACTCGCTCTGCCCCACCAGCAAGGAGCTGCTGAGGACAAAAGCATAGGAATGAGTGCCTGCATCACACCCCTATACCTGTGGCTGCCAGCAGGAATTGGTGCTACCCATCCCAGAGAGGAGCGATCCCTGGTCGGGCAGCCAGCACCCTGTGCTAGCAGCAACACTCAGCAACGAGGCTGCGGCTCCAGAGGCTAAAACCCCCTAAATATGATAAAGAGAAGTGAAGAAGCGGGGTTGAAAGAGGCCGCAGGGTTGCGGCTCAGCCGGGAGCATCCTGCTCCTCCCAGCAGCCCAAAGGAGGTGAAGAAGAGAGGCCAGGCTTCGCTAGAGGCTGTGGATGCTTCCCGGCATGCACCGTGCCTGCTTCCTGGCTGCCTAACGAGGCTTTAAAGTGTAAATAGCGGCATTGTTTTGCAGGGCTGCCTCGCCGGGGTGTGGAAGCCCTGATAGCTGCAAGAAATCCATCTGCCCAGCCCAGTTCATGTGCCTTCGCCCAGTGGCGGTGCCTGCTGTCCAAGAACTGGCAGGGCTGTGGGGCAACCATAGAGAAGCATCCAGAGCAATGGGGCAGGCAGAAGCACATGGAGCAGGCTGTGGTTTGCCCCACAAAGCTGCCTTCATCTCTTCTTCCTCCTCTGCTTTGGGAAGGGTTGGAGTGAGGCCAGTCGCAAAGCCCAGTGTCGTTGTTAAGCTGGAACCCGGGCAGCACACACCGAGGCATGGCACAAGCCATCATCAGTGACACTCTCAACTTGCAGAAACGCAGAACTGAGCCAGCAGAAGCTCCCGGGACACCAGGATTTCCAGGGAATAAGAGACTCCGTTCATGGAAGAGACCACGGGATGATGCCATGGACCCAGTGGCATTCAGAGACCAAACCGAGCCAGCACACCACTCATTCCTGACCTGCACGGAGGCAAAACTTGCAGCACCACCCACCCTGCTGCATGCAGGGATTACCCTCTCACTCTTCTCAAGCCACATATCCAAGCCACAGAGCTTATCCTGACCACAAGCTGCCTCCCTGCCTGCACCACGTGGCCGTGCACGGTGTCCCCTGTGCGCAGGGCCGCAGGGAGGGATGCGTGTCCCAGCTCCAGGTTGCACCACGGAATTGCACAATATGGTGAGCATCAGTGATGAGCACTACACTGCCCAAAAAGCACCACACGAGGAGAGCGTGGTCTGCGATATGGATTTCTGGGTCGAGGCTCAGAGCAGCCCCATAGCCTCAGGTGTGCCGGAGCCCAGGGTCTCCCCCGGGAAGGGCTCCTATGGAGCTGGGTACTCAGTGGGGACCTCCACTGCCCAGTGGTAACCCCAGGGATGCAGGAGTCTCCCCTTTCCTGTTTCAGCCCTCCGATGATTCAGACACGTGGATGGGGATTTCTCCAGGAGGGAAAACGGGAGAAGAGCACGCCC